GGGGGGGGGCATAAACCCCCCCCACATTTTGCATTTTATTTCCTGCTGGAGAAATAAAACCAGAGGCAGGGCAGGACAGCAGCCCCCACCTGAAGGCACTGGGTGCTCCCAGTCCCCCAGCCCCAGTTCCCACCACTGGGAGATGAGGCAGAACTGCCCCAAATGCCTCGGGGTGCCAGGACCAGCCAGCACCCCCCTGCTTTTCTCCCCACCAAACCTCCAGCTTCTCCCATTTGTTCCAGGAATCCCTGGGGTCACCTTTCCCCACAGATGCCCTCAGGGCCCACCCTGTTCCATCCCAGGCATTTACCTTCCAAGTAATCTAAACATTGATGCTTTTTTTAAGAGCTGGGGAAAAAGGCTCAGGCACTAAAATGCTCTTTGCACAGACACTTGGAAAAGCTTCTGCAGAGCACGGGGAGGGTTTGGGGACACGGGAGGATCAGGATTAGGTTTTTATTTCTTGGCTGATCCCTCCTGTGCGTCTGTTTACAAATAATGTAAATGTCTTTTAAACCAAACAAGCCAAATCTCCCCGCAGACCCCTCGCTCTCAGATGGAGCTTTTAGTGTGTAAAATGGCAGGTGTGTGTTTCCTTTCTTTCCTGGATTTCCACCCACGTTCATTCCCTCTGGGCTGCAAGTCTCAGTTCTGAGCAGAGCTGGTGGCCCAGGCTCAGGACATCACCAGTCACCACATCATCCAGCCATCAGCAAAGGGGCTTTTTGCAAAAAAAATACCCAACAACCCAAACCCCAGTATTTTTGGATGTAGGGCAAGCATGATCCACGTGGCTGAATGCCTCTAAAACTGGTTTTCTTCTAAATTTCAGCTGGTGCCTGAGGGACATGCTGTGCCCAGCCCAGCCCAGTTGCATGGAGTGATTTTAACGAGCTTTTGCGGTTTTATCAGAGATTTTACAAGGAGCAGGTCTTTTAACCAGGCTTAAGGTCAGGCCCGTGGCTCATTGCTCTGCTAAAATAACCCTGGGAAACCCAGGGGAGCTGCTGGGGCAGCCTGGCTGGGGCCTCAGCTGTGCCCACAGCAGCCAAAGGGGCTTCAGGAGGTGAAACTAATTCCCCAATCAGCTATAAAAGGTCGTGCTGGGCCCTTCCTGGGAGGGATTAATTGTCTTCAATGCCTTTTTTTTTTTTTTTCCTTTCTTCTCTTCTTGCTTCTGTGGAGCCTGGTGAGGCTGAAGCACTTTGCTGAACTTGGGTGTAATTTAAGGGCTTCACAGAACTTGGGGGAAAAACAAACAAACAAATATATATATATATATAGTAGGGGGGAAAAAAAAGCCCAAGCAGGTTTTTTTCTGCAGAGTTGCCTTTGGGAGTGAGGGGGTTCACAGCTCCCTGGTGACAGGGAATGAAGGTGCTTTTGTGCCCAGGGAAGAGCTCAGTTGCTCTGATCCTGCTCCACGTGTGGAACAGGGGAGTGAGGAGTTCCCCAAACCCATGAATAGCAGGGGCTGGAGGTGGCTGCACCAGGGGGGCTTGGTGGGGCTGAGAGCTGGGGATCAGAGGGAGAGGGGTGGGATAAAAGCTGGAGTTGGACCCAAGGAGCCTAGCAACCAGCACTGAGCTCTGGGGAACTGGGAGAGGGATCAGGTCACTGGCTGCTCCCAGCACTGCCTGACAGCTCCGGGGAGGAAAGGAGCAGTGGGAGGGAGGGGAGCTGGGGTGAGCTCCTCGTGCCCTGCTCCCCACACCCTCCTCTCAGCACCCCCAGGCCCTGCGCTGGCAGCTGCTCATTCTCTGTTCCTAAGGTGGATGTTTGTTGCATAAGGAAATTCCTGGGAATTCCTGCCACGGGCAGGGACACCTCCCACCAGCCCAGGCTGCTCCAACCCCATCCAAGCTGCCCTTCAACACTGCCAGGGATGGGGCAGCCACAGCTTCCCTGGGCAACCTGGGCCAGGGTCTCCCCAAGGTTGCAGGTATCTCCTTTCCCTCCTGTGGGTCCGGGTGGATCCTGCCCGAGCTCCCCATTCCCTTCCAGCCTCTCTCCCACCCCCTGCTGCCCTTTTCCCTGCAAGCTCTGCCACATCAGAGGTGCTTTTCCCACCCGGAGTTCCCTTGGGAAGCGATTTCCAGCTTGTCTGAGTGAGTGAGTTGCCACAGGATCGATTGATACGCAGGTAATGGCTTCAGAAACAGGGGCTGGGGAGAAATTACCCTTAATTGGGCATTTATTACTGTACCACGGTTGCAGGGTGTGACTAAAAAGTGGAGCTGAGAATTGATTCCAGATTGATTCCAGTGGCAAGATTAGCTAATAAGGGATGATGAGATTTGAGTGTCCAACTCAAATGGTTTGAGTTGAGAGCTGGAGCTGGGCCGTGGCAGCAGAGTGCTGAGCAGCTGGGTGTGGGGATGGAGCACGTCCAGCCCCTGCTCCTCCTGGAAAAGCCTGGTCTGACCTCATCTCTGCTGCTTCCAGAGACCCTGTAGGAGAAACCTCTCTGATTCCAGAGCTGGTGTTGTCCCCTCATCAGGAATGTCTGCCTTTAGATGGATACAAGTGATGGATTCAGTGGCTGAATCTGTGACATCCTGGCTGTGTTTCTGAAGAGCAGTGTGGAGACTTAAAACCAGATGGAAAAATAGCCTGTGTGCTTATAAAACAGTGTTTGGACAACAGTTCATCTCCAGACCTTTTCCTTAGGCTTCTGAGCTACTTTTCAAAGTGAAATGGTGAGAGAGACTTTCTCTGAAGCCCCTCCTCTAGGTTGTGTGGGCCTGGAACTCTCAGTGTCCCAGCACAGTTACTTTGGACACATTTCTTTCTCAAATATCTTTAATGGGAACAGACAAGATAATATAAAGCCTCTTCACAGTCATTGCTAATCATGACTACAAAACAGCCTTGATATCGACAGGGAAATTGCATCTTTCTCTCCTGGTACACACAGTTTCTGGTCAATACTCAGAAGCATCTTTGTTCCAGCTTGATGCCACAGGTAAGAGACTCACAGCACTGGGGACAGGGAAGCAGACTCATTTTTAGAGATAAATGAAAAGGGACATTTAAAGGATGACAACAAGACATGAGACTGGTAAGTCCCAAACCATCCTCATGCAGGTGATTCTCTGTAATCCTCACATCTCCAGTGTGTGTTCCAGCAGGGTGAGGAGCTGTGGGCAGGAGCCCAGGGGGTCCTGCTGACAGAGCTAGGCTCCATCCACCCTGCAGACCAGCCCCAAGTCCTGGCACCACGGGAGAAGCTCCCACCAAGCAACTGTCCAGGAGAGAGTCTGAAGCACCACTGGGAATCACACAGGAAACAAGGAAGCTCTGGCAGGAGGAGACTTTTAAAAATGTGTTTTCATACAGGTACATGAAGAACATGGTGTGAATTGGGGAAATGTCAGGAAGCTGGATCAGGGGAGGTTTGGGTTGGGTATCAGGAAGAGGTTTTTAACCCAGAGGGTGGCTGAGCACTGGAACCAGCTCCCCAGGGCAGTGGTCACAGCACCAACCTGCCTGAGCTCAAGAGGCATTTGGAGGATGCTCTCAGGTACGTGGTGTGGGTGCCCTACACAGGGACAGGAGTTGGCCTCCATGACCCTGATGGGTCCCTTCCCACTCAGCACTGATCCTGTGGTTCTCAGGCTGCAGGAGCTACCGGGGCTGCCCCTGCCAGTTCTGCCCTGCTGGCTCTGCCCGGAGGGTGAGGAGCTGTGGGCAGGAGCCCAGGGGGTCCTGCTGACAGAGCTAGGCTCCATCCACCCTGCAGACCAGCCCCAAGTCCTGGCACCACGGGAGAAGCTCCCACCAAGCAACTGTCCAGGAGAGAGTCTGAAGCACCACTGGGAATCACACAGGAAACAAGGAAGCTCTGGCAGGAGGAGACTTTTAAAAATGTGTTTTCATACAGGTACATGAAGAACATGGTGTGAATTGGGGAAATGTCAGGAAGCTGGATCAGGGGAGGTTTGGGTTGGGTATCAGGAAGAGGTTTTTAACCTAGAGGGTGGCTGAGCACTGGAACCAGCTCCCCAGGGCAGTGGTCACAGCACCAACCTGCCTGAGCTCAAGAGGCATTTGGAGGATGCTCTCAGGTACGTGGTGTGGGTGCCCTACACAGGGACAGGAGTTGGCCTCCATGACCCTGATGGGTCCCTTCCCACTCAGCACTGATCCTGTGGTTCTCAGGCTGCAGGAGCTACCGGGGCTGCCCCTGCCAGTTCTGCCCTGCTGGCTCTGCCCGTACGCGCGGCTGTCCCTGCCCACCAGCCCTGTCACTACCCAGGCAGAGAGCACAGGGCCAGCCTGACACCAGAGCAGGACACAGCCCTTCCATTAGTAACAGGAAACAACCCTCTGCAAGTTGTTAAAACTCTGCAGTTAAACACAATCCAAAATGATTAAATGCTAGAACAGATTTAAAGTTGGGTCACTCTAGGCAAGCGTGTGAGGAGAGCGAGTTGTCACCTCCCTGGTGATGGAGCCTGCTTTCCTGATACAGAACCTCCTCTGACCCTCTTCTGGAGAGGCTGAAGGAGATACAGGTACAAAATGAGCACGGAGAGGAAAAAGAATACTCCCTGTCCAGTGTGTTCTGTAGCAGGTTTGGCCAATAAAGTGGGATATTGGAGGAGGGCAGAGGAATGTTGAATGGGGACAATGTCAATGAAAACAGCCATTTAATGATTGCAGAGAGAGCTGCCTTTAGGATTCCAAATCCATCTCAGGGAAAAATACCTTCCTCCAGGGACAACTCAGGGCCAGCTGCACCTTAAATAGTGATCAGCTACAGAAAACACCAGAGTGGGCTTTGCAGGAGAGGAAAAAATGCCCTAATGAGAAACTAAAAAGGTACAAGACAGGAAGTCGACCTGATTCAGTGGTTTGATCTGTTCTGTTCTAAACCATCCTGGTTTAGGATGCTTCTGAACAACTGTGTTTTTTTGTCTGTTTAGCAGGTCTCCTGGTGAATTACTAACTATTCCCATTCAGACTGGAATGATGTGGTGGCCACAGGCTGGGAGAAGGGCAGAGCCAGGCGGGTGCAGCAGATGCTGGCAAAGGCCCAGCAGAGTCTCTGGAGCTGCAGAGCTGGGGTTGTTTCCTGTGGGTTGGGGCTGTTTGTGGTTTTTAAATGACTGACAATTGGCACTTCTGCCCTCCCCACCCCACCTCCTGTTATTCCTGTGGCTGGACACAGCTTCCTCAGAGGCAGCTCTCTGGGCTGGCCGGGGTGCATCTCACTGCTCAGCAGCCGGAGGCTCTTCCTCCATCTCCGGCTTCTCCAGCTGGGGCTCCAGGGGCAGGAGACACTGCACCTCCTCCCTGCTGATGGCCACCTTGTCAGGCTGCAGCCACCTCCTCAGGTGCTCCAGTGTGCTGAGGGACAGACAAGACACCCAGTGACCCCAGAGCAACAAAGCTGCACAGGAAGGTCTGAGAGAAGCGTTTGGAAAACCCTGGGACACGTTCCTTTCCCCTCGGTGGGAATTCCTGTTGCCACAGGCAAGGTCCAGCATGGGAGTGATTCCTGAGCCACAGGAGGAAGCAGAATCTCTTGGTCTGCAAAGACTTTCTGCTCCAGTTGGGCTTTTTCAACTATGGTTAGAGAAGTTTTCACACTCGGATTCTCCTTGATGAAAAGAACCCTCAGTCCTGTCTAAAAACTACAATTCCATTCCCAGCTTTCTGGGCTGGAAGTAAAAAAAACACCATAGTGTTAAACTAAAACTGTGATGGAGATGAGGAAGTAACAGGGGGGAAGAGAGGGGAACAAAACCCAAGCACCTATCAAAACGTGTGACCATTGATACCCCCCAAAGGCTGGAGGAGCACAGGGCACTATGTGTACACTCCAGAAGGCCAATCAACCTGTGGACTCTACAGGTGGTTCATAAATATGTTGGGGCAAAATTACTGTCCTACAGCCTATCTCACAATATCTGGTCTGATCAGAGCAGATCTACCCTTCTTTTTCTTTCAATACTGGCTAGAACACCAGAAGTTTAATATTCTAACTCCTAAATGCAGGTGTGAGCAGGTGCTGCTCCCCTTCTGGAAGGGTGAGTCACATCACTCAGCACAGCCACAAAATTAACTTGCTTTTCTCTTTTTCTCTTGCACAGGAGCAGAATTTCATGTGGCAATGTCCTTGGAATTATCTCTGGGCTAAAAAGTCAAGTTTGGTGGGTGAGAATCAAATACTTTGGTGCTGCTGGTGAGTGACCTCTAACTTGATAGATTGTAGGGAGGAAAAGCTTCCCTGGAGAACATCCCCAGCCCTTCAAAACAGAGCAGAAAGAGCAGATATGGCTGCAAAAGCTTGTTTTAAAATGTAAATCACATTGAAGTTTACTGGTCAAAGAGAGAATCTAAAAACTCCTTATAAACATGGATTATTTTTCATGCCTAAACTCCCAATCTAACTTAAGTAGATTTTCTTCAAGGGAGAAAAATAATCTTCTTTTCAACTGGAGGCAATCATGAGAAATGTCAGCTCAGAAAGGAGAACAGTGGAGGGCTTTATAAGTGATTGGAAGTGAGACTGCTGAAGAACAGGACTCTCATCTTAATTCATACATCATCTGGAAAAGGGTGAGGAGAGAGAGGGAGCAGCAGCACAGGAGGGAGAGCACCCTGATCTGATCAAGATTGGTACCAAACCTGCTCAGAACTTCACACCCCACTTGTGGCTGAAGCAGAGCTTCACTGGGCCCTTGCAGACACACAGGGACTGGCTTGGGGGTCACTTCTAGAGTTAAGCCTCAGAAAAAGCAGCCTGAGACACATCAGACACCCCCTCCTGCACCTCTTCCCCACCCCAGAGGGACAGGAGAGTTGATCACAGAGGTCCTGGTTGTTTGCAAAGCTCAGTGAGCAGCACTGGAAGTCCAAAGCTGGCCAGGGCAGTGTGCTCCCCTCTAGCACCAGGAGAATGGCTGTTATCCAGCTGTCCCAGGAAGCCTGGACAGCCACAATGAGGGACAATGAGCTGTTAGTAACACTGTCCCAGCACAAGTCCTGCCAGAGCCCAAACTAGTTTCTAGGAAACAAAGAGTGTTTGCCAAGGTGATAAGAACTAATCCCTTCTCATCAACTTGCTCGTTACCTCTCATCAGAGTCGTTTCCCTCTACAAAAACTTCAGACTCAAACTTCTCCTGCAGGAACCTGTCCCAGCATTCCTTCTTGGCCTGGGAGAGAGTGTGCAGCATCTCCTTGGAGGTGACCTCCTGAGACAGGCCTTTGATCCTCATCAGTCTTCTCTCTGTCAGGAGGCAAGGGAGGGGGTTGGTTATCTTGGTTCTGTTCTTCTGAAAGGGAAGTAGCACCTGGACTTGTACACCAAGAAAGTTAAATGAGCTCCTCAAGACTTGAGTCATATTTTAAGTCATTTTCCCCCTGTATCTGCAGGCTACACAACTGCATCCACTGTACATGCACAGGATGGTCCCCACCAGGTGACACTTCTGGAGGAGATGAGGTTTCTGCCACCAGCCAACTCTGCCCACCCCAGGGTTTTAAGAACTCTGGCACCTGCTGCTCAGTCTCCACAAAAATCCCACAGGTGGGTTCAGATCTCACAGGTATTAAGTTCCCACCATTCTCCCTGCAAACTGGCGTGGAATATAAATGCCATTAATTATATTTGGAATCCAAATAATGCCCAAACTGAGGGGGGAAAAAAAAGATGCAAACGTGGCAGGATTATGAGCTGGATGTCTCAGAACAGCACCTGAGTTTCTCAGCCACAGGGAAGCATGCAAAGTGCCTTGTAGCAGACCCAGAGTAACCCAACTACAGTGCCCAGAGCTACAGGGAAGCAAATGTCATTAATTCCTCTGGTCACAAAAGCCCATGACATGGTTTCCTCAAATTTGGTCAGGTATTGACTTCTAGCCTCCCATTTTGCTGCAGTGCATCAGCCCTGGTTGAACTGGGCTGGCTGAGCCAAGGGAGCTGCATGTGTGGCTGCACTGCCAACCAGCCTGCAGGCTGGCCCAGGAGAAAAATAACTCTGCAAGAGGGAAAGAAGGGGAAAAGAGCAGCCACAAAGATGGACTATTTTGCTGCAAGTGGAGAGAGTAGCAGTCCAAAGCTCCCCCCTAACAGGAGTGCCCATCCTGGGCCTGAATGCTGTGGTACAACGAGGCCTCTGGAGGGAGCAGAAAATACTTCAATAGGGTGAGAAATCCCAAGGCCTTAGAACTCCAGATGTGAGCTCTGGAGCTGGGACCCTTACCAGCCCTCACGTCAGGGGTTTCTGTCAGCTCTCTCACTGTTTGCAATCAATGAATGGCTCAAGAATTAAGCAGTGGCACAAAGATGATCTGCATGGTGTGTCTTCCTGAGGTAGAGTCTGCAGGGGCAGGCTGGGGAAGCATCAGAGCTTTCTCTCCCACATCTGTCCCCTTCCTCTCCAACCAGAAAACAGGTCACAGAAGGAAATGTCACTTTTCTCTCTCCCCTCAGAAGCATCTCCTGAGGTCCCATAAAAAGCTTGAGACACACAGTGGTGACACAAAAGCACGAGGGCTCTGCAGTGAGTTCAGAATGCATTTCCCCTCGAGCCAACTACAGTTGAACTACCTGCTCTTCAGAGAAAAAAAAACCCAGCAGCAGCAGTGCCCCTGCCCCATTTGTTTTGGTGGGTTTTTTTTGAAAAACCCAAATCCTTTGGTTGACACAAAGTTTGTTTCTGTGGCAGAACTGAGGAAGTGATGACAAAGCTGCTCGTTCCCTCCTCTGTGCTGGCAGAACAGGGGTGAGGTGCACAAGGTCTGCAGGACATCTCTCCAAGCAGAGCTGGGAGGGCTGGCTGTCACCTGGGCTGTCCCCTTGGCTGTCACCTGGGCTGTCCCCTGGGCTGTCCCCTTGGCTGTCACCTGGACTGTCACCTGGGCTGTCACCTGG